TATTATCATGTAATACTATAATACTATATGATATTATATAATAATATTTTAATATATATTTAAAACAATATCTTGCTATATATAATAACAAAAGGAACCTAATGAGATATACATGTTGATTATTCTTTAATCTTTTAGCATAAATACTCTTTTTCAATTGCTCCTAATTACGTGTATGTGACAGAATTTTTAGAATTAAAAAAATTTATGTAAATATGTGTTATAATTTTCATTATTATAAAAAACCCTAAAACTTTATGTCATTACACATGTATTCATTGTTTCAACTTTATAACACTTTTTTAAAAAAAGATAAAACTGCCCATTCTATATTTTTGAAAAATTGAAATTCAAAAATTAAAATTTTAAATATCAATATTATGTATGCTCAAATATTTAAACTTGAGGTTCAATTGACTTTTTGGTTATCATTCATGGCTTTACACTTTCATGTCAAGGGTTCAAGTCTTGCCATTCACACACACGAAAAGTCTTTCCAGTGCCTATAAGCGAAAATAAATAGTGATTTTGCCTACCCTCATCACCTTCCAAATTTTATCGCACGGTCACTATTGTCCAGTAGTGTTTTATTTTACAAATCGAAATGACCTAAAATTTGGAGGGTATGTGCATCTTACTAAGGCGCATTTAATAAAAATATACAAAAAAAAATTATCCGCAAAAAATAAATTGACCAAAATACTTTTAGGAGGTATTTTGGACAATTTTTTTTATGTAAAGTATTTTTTATATAATTTTCAAAAATTCCCCTATTTTTGATGAATACGCGTTTCAAATTTCAAGTCATTTTGATTTGTAAAAAAAAAAATGAAAAATAAAACACTACCTGACAATCGTGACCGCGCAATGAACTTTGGACGGTGAGGGGGATAGGCAAAATCACTGTTCATTTTTCGCCTCTAGTGTTTCATTTTTTTTCTACAAATCGGAATGACCTGAAATTTTGATTAATACTCAAAATTTAAATTTATTCCGATTTGTAGAAAAAAAATGAAAAATAAAACACTACTTGACATTCGTGACCACGTGATAAAATTTAGA